GCCCTGCTTACTGGTCAATCTGACTACAGCTTCCTCTGCCTCCCATACTTCCACAACTCTTTTTCAGAGTAAACATTAATGCACAGTGTTTTAAAATAACATTAAAATTTATTTTCTGATTATAAAATTAACCTGTATACATTAAGTTTAGAAAAAGCAAACATTTTCTTACCAAAACAAGCCAGAAGAAGAGAATATAAATTGATCCCAAATATAAACATAAGCAAAAAAACCTATGTGAAATACTGAGCAATCACATCAAAGATAAAGTTTTTAAAAGGCACCATGACCAAGGAACATTTATTCCAGGAAGAAATAAATGTTTCAACATTAAAGTATCCTAATACCTCTATATTTTCACTGTTGCTTCATCTCAAAGGGTTGTAAAATTAAAATTAATTAAAACAAAAAATTAATTTAGAACAATCCCTGGAATATACTAAATGGTTAATATTGTAGTATGTTCAAATTATATTGTTTTTAACCTGTAATTTAATCCAGTATTTTAAGTAATCAAAGATAAAAATCACCCAAACTTTTCAATAAATACACCCCAAAATACTTTTACTACTGTTTAATTTTTGTTTTTAGGAAGAGAAATAAGCTTCCTTAACTTAAACATTATCTACCAGTTTACGGAAGAAAACTTAAAGGTGAAATGCTTAAAACATCCCACTTAAGTCAGGCGCAAAGGGAAGATTGTAGCACAAAAATGCTACAGCAGAATTCATAGCTAATAGACCAAGATAGAAAAATAAATCGGAGTCATAAACATTGGCAAAGAAAAGAAAAAAGCTTTTATTATTTGCAGATAATATGATTGTCTACATAATCCAAAAGAATAAACTGAAGAATTACTAATATATTAATTATATTATATTAATTATATTAATTAATTAATTATATTAATTAATAATATAATTCAATATGAGATTTTACAAGCTCGTTATGAAAAATGCAAACAACTAATAGAGTAACATGCGGAGGACTCCAAATTATCAGAAAAACTAATTAAAATTATTGAAAAAAAAGCCTCATCAATGACCAAGCAAACAAAACACAACATTTCATTACACATCAGAGATCAACAAAAAATTGAATACTGACAAACACTAGGAGAAACATAATATGTGAAAATAAAGATACAATTTAAAAATATATAACATTTTCTGATTTGCCTTCAAAGATTACATATATATATATATCTATTATACACTATATGTGTATGTATATACATACATATATATGTAATTATATGTATACATATATTATATTTGTAAATATATACACTCTTTGAAGGCAAATCAGGAAATATTTTTCAATGTGAAAAATACTGATTCCCTGTTTATCTCTAGGTCTCTTATCACATAAAAACATGCCAAGAGATCCAAAAAGTGGTGTGTACCACGATGTGCACAGGGACATTACTTGTAATAGGAAATAAAGAAATCAACCTAAATATTACTATTTAAGAGAACTCCTTAAATAGTTGGTGGCACATCAATTCCATGGGATATGCAGCAGTCAAAAAATTAAATGGGAAAAAATAAAACAAGACAAATAATTAATGGAAAGGTCTCAAGATCTTCAGTGAGTAAGCAAGCCATAATAATGCCTAGAGAAGTGATAGCGAACCTTTTGAGCTTGGCATGTCAGCGTTTTGAAAAACCCTAACTTAACTCTGATGCCGTGTCACATATAGAAATTGTTTGATATTTGCAATCATAGTAAAACAAAGATTTATATTTTTGATATTTATTTTACATATTTAAATGCCATTTAACAAAGAAAAATCAACCAAAAAAATGAGTTCGCGTGTTACCTCATGTCATAGGTTCTCCATCACTGGCCTAACGTATCCACTTATCCATACAGTATCCACTTACTGTAAAAAGTAAATATTTGATTCTATAAGTATTCACACCAGGAGTTACATACACAGCGAACAGTACTGGAATGACACACACAGAACTGCTGACAGTGGAGCAGGGAGATGGGTCGTAAATGTCCTCGGTAGCTTATTTTGTGTATATTTATTATCTGCCTGAATCTTTGCAATGTAATGTATTATTATGTAGTGCTAATAGAACTTTTAAAGGCATAGTCACACCTCTCCTAGATAGAAATAGTCTACCATTTAGCAGGATCTGGACCATCTCTCTACTAATAAACAGTAGAGCAGAGAGGTAGGTCAAGTTCTTGGGGCTTGGGCCAGACTGCTTGGCTTGGCTGTTTACTAACTGATGTGGGATGGTTACTTTATCATTTTAAAAATTAGGCTAGTAATGGCATATAACTCACAGAGTTCTTGTAAAGATTGAAAAAAGATCTTATCTATAAAGTACCTAGCACAGTACCACAAACACAATATATCTTCACCAAGTTTTTGTGGTTGCTCTACAAAGTTTACAATATTAGGAACTAAAGCTTAAGGTTGAGAAATAAATGTATCACTCAACTATAGCCTAAATTTTTTCAAAGAGAAACAGTTATTTATAATGGGATAACTGTGCCATTGATATAGAACTCCACTGAAAATCACAAGTTCTAGATAATATTTTAAAAATAGCATCTTGCCCCTCGGTTGCAGGCTCAATCCCGGTCCCGGTCAGGGCACGTTCAGGAGGCAACTAATCCATGTGTCTCTCTCACATCGATGATATCTATTTGTATCTCTCCCCCTCATTTCCACTCTTTCTTAAAAAAAAAAAAAATCAATGGAGAAAAATGTCCCCAGGTGAGGATTAACAAAAAAAATAATAAATAACAAATAACATCACTATAATGAAATTCTATGAGATAGTTAATCTATAATTTCATTACAAGACTATAAGGCCTGGAATGTTGTACAATTGTCATTTTCATGCTTTTATTAAAATTCCCGTCAGTATTTCTTTCTATATTTAATAAGCATCCAATGATTAAAAACATGAAATTAACTGATCTTCAATTTTATATAGTGAAAAATTAATAAGAATTAATAAGGTTTGTACATAACCTTTAGTACATATTTTTATAATACAAAAAGTGTGCTCAGTAACAGAATTATTTTACACATAACATCTATTCCAAGGTAATATTCTCAAGAATGAAAGTACAGCAAATAAATATTAACACAAAAAACAAAGTACAAACTTTAAGATATTGTGTAACTTCATGGTAACATTTCCAAAATTACTAGGTAATTTTAGTGTAATTGTTGCTCAAAAAAAGCTGTCCAACCTTCTGGAAATTAGTGTGAGATTCCTCATTGCATGAAAGATATTCATAAATTAGTTATATAATAAATAACTTACAGTATTGACTAGTGCAAAAAATGTAAATTCAATAAGGAAAAATCTCATTCTGTATAAAATTATAGCAACATATGCTAGGAAGCAGGTTTTTTTATTTTCTAATATTACCTAAAATATAAAAGAGAATTATTTTATCCAAATTTAGAATATGGTTTACAGAGAAGAGTCTTGAGAACAGTAAATATTTTTTAATCCTTCCCTGAGGATATTTTTTTATTGATTTTTAAAGAGAAACAAAGGGAGAGGGAGAAACATCTATATGAGAGAAAAATATCCATCAGTTGCCTCTGGCATGTGCCCTGACCGGGGATTGAACCTAGAATCTGGGTATATGCCCTGACCAGGAATCAAACCCATGACCCTTTGATCCTTCAGTGCACAGGAGTATGCTCCAACTAACTGAGCCACACTGTTTGGTGTGAGAACAGTAAATAGTGCTAAAGATGGGGGTTGGAGCAAATCTTGCAAAGAATCTACATTAATGAATGGTTAACTACAGTTTCCTATAGTTTAAAAAGGCAGACAGATCACTAACATGAACAAG